AAATTATTCGTACAGTACAATAAACTGTGTGCAGAAAATATTGTTGTATTACCTGAACTTGAAAATGCAATAGCGGATAAGAATGTACTTGCTTTGCACATAAGAGAATCTTTGAAAGAAGTTGATGAATTACTGAAAAGTTTAAAAACTAAAAATGTTGAAAAACTGAAAGAAGTTGAACACAAAATGGCTTCTATACAAATAGAACTGGACTCAGTAAGTTACAAATTTAATGAAAATATTAAATAAGTATACTACTAACATATTATTATGCGAACCTAGGCAGAGCTGGAGTATAATAAATTGAAGAAAATAGCTGAAAAATTAGGTCCTGAACGTGATGCTGATAAAAAACGCCTGCTAGAAATCACTGATCGTCAGTTTGAGGTAATTATGATTTTAATATTCTAAATGTTCATTGCCAAGACAGCAAAATTAAATTTATAATCATATAATCTTTTTAGTCTCTAAATTATAATTATTAATAAGCTCAATTAAAAGTAAAGAATTCTTAGAACTTTTCAAAATAATTTATCTATATATCATTATAGTAATTTAAAAATATTGATCTTTTTTAGTTTTTTTACAATTTACATTGATAAAAAAAAGTTTATAGATCAAAAAGTTTACAATTAATATAGTAAAACATCTTCATAAGTGTTATTTTTGCAATAATTTAAAAATATGAAAAATAGTAAGTACCATCAAATCTTAAATAATTTGTACTGCGCTTAGTTTTGAAGCGTAAAGTTTGTATACTGTGTAAGAATATTTATATATAAAAAGGTTGATGTTGGTACTTACAAATAATAATAAAATAACTAAACAATAAACCTTGTATCCCAATGGCCTATGTCAATTAGGGTAAATTAATTTTGTTAATAAAAAACAAAAAAATTATCAAAAAAATATATAATTTTTGAGAAATTGAACTCGAGTTAAGCTTGATCACTCCATACTCCCATTTAATAAATATATTTTATTTATGCGATTATACATGCATAAAACCACATACTTTTGAATGAAAATAATGTAAATCATAAACAATGTCTATTAGTTGTAATTAATTTTAACTACAACTTTTGATTAACTCAATATAATTTGTCCAAACACTATTGCACTATTTAACCTCAACTATAGTCTGTAACTCTTAACAATTCTAATAGTATTTGGTATTTAGGTTTATTTTATTTGAAA